TTGACAAGCTCCACATCCACAAAAAAACTTGACAAAAGCTATAAAAAAAAGCAAACTCTAGTGTATAAGTCTACTGCTGGCAGCAAAGGGTACAAGACATGACAATGTCAACTAAATCCAAACAGGACATGATTCAAAGATGTTGTAATCTCATGACAGCAAGCTGAAGATATATGTTTTTGACAGCATACATTAAGGGTTCTAAAACAGTGCTTATATGCATATCAATCTAGGCTACAAACTCCAAATCTTGTATGCTCACAACATAATTTGACAGCAAATATGTACTAATCATAAAGACAGCAGTTCAAAACATCAGAGGTAAATTTGGCATTGCACAAATCAAACATCAAATTCAAAGCACATTTCCTCAAGAGGGCTACGTCTACTTGGGATTTGAGAATAGAAATTTGATAAATTTTACATCTACTTAGGATTTGAGAATAGACATTTAAGAATTTTTGTGTTTATTTGGAAATCTTTCACACAATACATGTATCTATCCGTGCGTGCAGGAGGAGGAATTACTGGTTAACATAAAAGTTGACAACACTGAAAAGAAAAGCTCACTCGAGAGATACATTGTCAAAGAAACTCAGGTCCGTGTTTTGTTTAGAATGAGAGTAATTGAATGAATACTACTTATGATGAAATTGTAATATTGAAACAAGGACACTAAAAATGTAAACTGTATGGGCTTTGTTCATCGCATAAACAAAGTAGCAGCTGATGTCGGATGTATTCTAGTTCCTCTTTGTAGCTGACAGCATTCTGTAAAATTGTTTATTTCCTTTCTTTTATTTTATTAGTGTTTTCTTGATCTGGAAAAGTGAGTGACTAAGACGAATTATGATTAAAAAGATGCTCAAGATGGAACTAGGAAAAATTGCTCGCTAACCAGACATCACCAAGCAACGTGCAGAACTGTTGCATAGTAGTCATTAAGGTTTATAAGTATATCGGAATCTAGAAAGTGTCTAGCTGAATTGGATGTCATTAAGGTTTATAAGTATATCTTTACATAACTGGAATATTATGAGGTAGAGAATGCTTCTAGTAGCTCATATTTGGACTACCATGTCATCTTTTTCCATATGCACTCTCACTAATATTTAGGATTAGGTTGATGAGTTGCTCTTGCTGCAGTGAAAGCGGTTGATGATGTTGCTCTTGCTGCTACTCTTACTCCGGTTGCCGAGGCAGTGAAAGTGGTTGCTGATGTTGCTGCAAACAAGAAGAAGAAAGGCTTCTCTCACAGGATAATAACCATTATTGGTGGTATTCCTTATCTTCTTCATGCTCCTGTTCATCCTCCCGTTTAATAAAATACTAGATAGATTTGGATTTTTAATGGTATTAAATAAAAATAATCCAAATCAAAATTTTCAGAAAAGCAAAAGCTATGTAATCGAAAGCTATCCATTTTAATTTCATAATATATAATCGAAAGATAGATTCGAAAAAGCTTTCCAAATCCAAATCTATCTTTTGCTTTTTCGAATCTATCTTTCGATTACATATTATGAAATTAAAATGGATAGCTTTCGATTACATAGCTTTTTCTTTTCTGAAAATAGTAATTTGGATTTGGATTATTTTTACTTAATACCATTAAAAATCCAAATCTATCTAGTATTTTATTAAACGGGAGGAGGAAGGAGCAGGAAGAAGATAAGGAATACCACCGATAATAGTTATTATCCAGTCAGAGAAGCCTTTCTTCTTCTTGTTTGTAGTAACATCATCAACCGCTTTCACTGCCTCGGCAACCGGAGTAAGAGTAGCAGCAACAGCAACATCATCAACTGCTTTCACTGCAGCAACATCAACCGCTATCACTGCCTCGGCAACCAGAGTAAAAGTAGCAGCAACAGCAACACCATCAACCGCTTTCACTGCCTCGACAACCGGAGTAAGAGTAGCAGCAACATCATCAACCGCTTTCACTGCCTCGGCAACCGGAGTAAGAATAGCAGCAACAACAACATCATCAACCGCTTTCACTGCAGCAACAACAACATCATCAACCGCTTTCACTGCCTCGGCAACCAGAGTAAGAATAGCAGCAACAGCAACATCATCAACCGCTTTCACTGCCTCGGCAACCAGACCAATGGCTCGAAGGGCTTCACTAATATCCACTCGACGACTGTTGATCGAAGAAATTGTGAGCAGAAACATACAAATAAAAAGAAACTTTGTTGGATTCATATTGAATATAGAAAAGAAAGAAGAAAAAAAATTGTTATTATAGCATGCATACACACAGCTTTTTATAACAGTTACCTTACTACATATAGGAGAAACATACAATTGAAGTACTAACATGAAATAGTTTGATGCTTGCATATATCACTTTTATAAAGTTGAAGTACTGACATGCTTGCATATGTCATGTCACTCATCCCATTTTGCATTATTAAATTGATAACCATCTAATTGTCACATGCTTGCATATGTTATGTCACTCATCCCATAACAGATATGCTGCTCAAGCTGCCACACAATAAATGTAATTGACTATTACTCATCATCTATAGGGAGCTAGTTTATCAACTATTTTTCAATTTCTAAGTTCTAAGTTATAGGCTTTTCCATTTCTTTGAAAGGGCCTGCTATATAATTTTGGTTTTGATTAAGTGATTCTAATTATTGGTTTTCTACATGAAAATTGTTATTAGCATCCCGTATTTAACATGTATCTTCCAAAAAATGTTGATTTTATACTTTTGTATCTAAAAATGTGATTTGATTAAGTGTTAGAGCTTTAATGAAGATTACTGAGGAAGATTGTCATGAGTCTTTGGATGTGAATGCTTTTGTTTATCGAATATTTGCTTCATAATCACTATCTTTGGATTTTTGTAAAAAGAATGGAAGCTTTATGAATCTTTGAGCATAGGCTTGCCCTTTATAAAAATTCGAAAGTTGAGTACCAAATAAAATTCGAAAGTACAGGTTATCTAAATTCCCTATGTCATCTCTCAATTTTCCCATGAGAATATGCCCTGTGTTGATTTTGGCCATCAGTTGATTAGATCTTGTTTCTTATTTCATAGCTGACCATTTCTAACTTTAACGATGTGTTCACGGAGGTCAATAGTAAATCTTGCTTTTTATTATGTAAGACTTAGAACTCTTGCTAGGTTTTGGTTAGTGACTGTCACTAGGACAGTTAGAGGACATGTTGTTGAGTTACTACTGTTGAACATTGGTGTTTTGGTGCTTTGAGGGTTTGGTTTTACTATTCAGGATTCTTGGCTGCCATTAGGGTTTGGTTGGTGATTGCCTTTAGAGTCTTGCCTAAAGCTACTGCTAAGGTGTGTTTGAGTGCATCTGTCAATCCATATTGACATACCATTGAGTCTGCTGAGTTTTTCTGTTTAAAATGCTATGAGCCTGATTTTTGTTTTCACCTATTGTTAGATTGTCTTCTTAGAGCTGATTGCAGGCCTAGACTTAGTGTTCTGATCTTAGCAATACTGAGAGTATGTTGGTGAATCTCCACTTAGTGTATTTGGATTAGTCTAGCATTTAGTGAGATGCATAGCTTTGTCCTTAGAGAGGGGATTATCATGAGAACGCCTAAGACTGTGAAGTGCCTCAACTCTGATTTAGATCCTTGAGGGCAGTTTGTTTTGTTTGATTTCTAACTAAGCCTAGTGTGGTTTGTGTTGAATTCTTTCTCCTGATGTTCATCTGAGGTAGGGGTGTGACCAGGTCTGTGGTCATGGGAGTTCAAAGGCCTGTTTGGATTCACTAACTGTTTGAGAATCCCAGTTTCTTACCATAGCTGCCTTAATGTTTAGCTTGCCATCCAAGTTTGTTGGGAGGTTAGTCAGCCTAGAACTCAATTCATTTGCATGTTTTTCTGTTGCTTAATGTAGAGGAAGATCATGTTTGGACCTGTTTAGTCTTTTAGGATGATATATTTGGTGGTGGATAGGTTTAACATTTGGCAATTGGCAACTATTTTGAGCATAGCAAAGCAATGTGCATACCTTTTCTTTTCTACTGAACTTTTTAGCATGACAGCCTTGCTTTAGCTATTAGGTTTGTTGGTAATTGTTGTTTTGGAGATCCTTGCAAACCAATCAATTGATACCTTAGAGTTTGTAGTCAGTAGGTTTTACTGTGTTTAGTCACCATTTATGTGTGTTTTGGATTCATGACTTGCTACAACTTGAGTTGATTCATGTTGTTGTTTGTTTAGTGCCTCTGCTGTCATAGAATGGCTGATTTAGTTAAATCAACTTGAGAACTTTTTGCATATGTTCATAACTAGTTGTCAAGCTGTTAGTGAACTTGGTGATGCATTGAATCTGCCAGTTTCCATTACCATCATGTTTCCTTTCCAACTTTTGCAATTCATGTAAGTTAGGTTCATAACTTGCTTACCATTTGAAACTGATATGAGCTGCCGCCACAAACCACTGTTTGGACATTTGTTTAAAGACATAAAGCTTATTCTAGAGCCACTTCCATTGGATTGCAGCTTGTTGGTCACTGCACGATCCAGTGAAGAATTAAGATCATCCCTTGGAGCATAATCATAAGTTTTACATTTCTAACATGTGCAGATCTTGTTTGGGATTTAAATCCTTATGTTTTGATCATTAAACTCAAAGATGCATTTCCAAAACTCATTGCATTATCATTCAAATTTCTTTGTGTATGTATCTTTTGAAAATTTGGATAGCACCATCTTAATCCTCATGAAAAACAATCAGTTTTGACTTAAATTTCACTGAATTTGAGTAAGATTTGAAAGAGTTATGATGAAACCGTTTTTGAAGTTTTCACTTGGTTTTGTTCTTGCACTTGCCCAGAGTGCCTCTCTTGGTATATATTCAACTGGAGTGGCTTAATATAATAGATTTATCGCGACCCTCAGTGAGGACAATTTTCTTTAAATTCATTTAATTTTCAATTTTACACAACTTCTTTATTATTAATCATTTTAAATTGATTCTTTTTGCTAAATTTTCACACATGTGCTTATGATAATTGGTGGATATTTTATTTCTTATCTAGGAAAGCCCGGACCATTTTTTCCTTGCTCGGAGAAAAGTAAAAACATTAGTCCAAATTCGTCTCTTTTATAAGCACTATTTCACATGTACGAACTAGTGCTTATAAAAAGTAACAAACATAGTAATTGTAACTAAATACTTTGTTAATTTTGCTTATTAAAATGTGTCATAAATTTGTTTTTCTAGATACATATGCAATGGAGGTTGAAAAGGGAAAGACTTATCTACTAAGAATCATCAACGCAACACTTAATGATGAACTTTTCTTGTCCATTGCTGCTCACAACATGACAGTAGTGGAGGTTGATGCAGTTTACACAAAACCATTCACAACACAATCAATTCTATTAGGTCCTGGTCAAACCACAAATGTTCTTGTCAAAACAAACCAACTTCCAAGCAGATACTTCATGGCTACAAGAACTTTCATGGATGCACCAGTCTCAGTTGATAACAAAACCGCAACAGCTATATTTCAATACAAAGGAGTTTCAAACACTATCATCCCTTCATTTCCTCAACTACCTAACGCAAATGACACAAGCTTTGATTTGAATTATAGCAAAAAGTTTAAGAGTTTGAATTCTGCTAAATATCCTGCTAATGTTCCTCTCAAAGTTGACAGAAACCTTTTTTACATCATTGTTTAGGCATGAATTCTTGTCCTACATGCATCAATTGTTAGGTTTATATTTATTTATTTATAATTTATGTTGAGTCAGTCCTATTTTTAAGTCTTTGTTTTACTGTCAGTTAGTGCATTTGCCAAGTCAAGGTTGTTAGCATGTTAGTAGCAGTGAGGACCAAGTATTTAGGAGGCAGTTATTTTGTAACTGGTGTAGTATATATTGCTACATCTGAATTAATAATAAACACAGTTTTTGAGCTTGACAAATGCTATCAGAGCGGTTATACAAAAACTGACAGCAATTTAGTGATTAGGAAGGGAAACACAAAGAGAGTAATCAAGGGAGGATCTCTGGGTAGGGTAAACACAGAGAGAACCGAGAGAGGATTACAGAAAGTGAGTGTGTTCCAAAAGAACTGAGAATGGGTGACGCAAATTTCGCGAAGGCTTGCATTCCGATCTTTGATGGAGACTATGATCATTGGAGTCTCTTGATGGAGAACTTGCTGCGTTCCAAGGAGTATTGGAAGGTAGTGAATGAGGGCTTCACAGAACCAGCCGCAGATACAACATCAACCGCAGAACAAAGTAAAGCTTTGGAGGAAATGAGGTTAAAAGATTTTAAGGCTAAGAATTATCTATTTAGTAGCATAGATAAAACTGTCCTTAAGACAATTACAAAGAAGGGAACAGCCAAGGAACTTTGGGAATCCATGAAAACCAAATTCCGAGGCAGCGCCAGGGTTAAGAGAGCTCAACTTCAAGCTTTAAGGAGAGAGTTTGAGGTGTTGGAGATGAAGGAAGGAGAAACGATTAACGATTACTTTGGCAGAGTCATGATTGTTTCTAATTCCATGAGAAATTGCGGAGAATTGGTTGAAGAGGTGAAGATTGTTGAGAAAATACTTAGGACTCTAACGGACAAGTTTAATTATGTGGTGTGTTCGATAGAAGAGTCTAAGGATTTGGATGAATTGACCGTTGATGAGCTGCAAAGTTCTTTGTTGGTGCACGAACAGAAGCTGGTTAGGAAAACGATCACAGATGATCAAGCTCTAAGGGTTGGAGTTGAGTATAGTAGAGGAAGAAGCAGAGGTCGTGGTAATTATCAGGGAAGAGGTAGAGGACGCAATAGTTCAAGAAGCAAGGAAACGATTGAATGCTTTCATTGCCACAAATTAGGCCATTACAGGAACGAGTGTCCTGAGTGGTCCCATCAGGCACATTACACAAGTGAGTTCAGTGAAGAAATATTGTTGATGGCTATGGAGAACGGTGAGCAACATGAGGCTCTGTGGTTCTTAGACTCGGGTTGTAGCAACCATATGACGGGCAGCAGACGTTGGTTTACACACCTTGATGCATCTTTTGCCTGCAATGTCAAGTTAGGCAATGGCATGAAGTTGGAGGTTCTTGGCAAAGGGAGCATAAAGGTGAAAATTGATGGTACTGTTGCTGTTATCCAAGATGTTTACTATGTTCCGGGACTGCAGAATAATCTATTCAGCATAGGGCAGATGCAGGAGAAGGCTCTAATATTTCTAATCAAGCAGGGAACTTGCAAGGTGTTCCATGAGAACAAAGGCTTGTTGTTTGAGACATCGATGAAGGCAAACAGAATGTTTGTGCTTCAAGCCATATCGTTAGGCAGTAAAGAAGCTGAACAAGGGCAATGCTTGATGGTGTCAAAATCTGAAAAGGAGAATCTCGAGCTCTGGCACAGGCGTTTTGGACATTTGAATTACCAAGGCCTAAGAAAGCTTCAGCAGAAATCAATGGTTCAAGGCTTGCCGCAGTTGAAACAAAGTAGCACCCCTGATGTATGCTCAATCTGTCTTATGGGGAAGCAACATAGAAAATCGTTTGCACAAAAGAGCTTGTGGCAGGCTACAGGGAGGTTACAGCTGATTCACGCAGACTTGTGCGGTCCTATCACACCCGACTCTAACGGCGGTAAGAAGTACCTTTTTACCTTGATAGATGACTACAGCAGGAAACTATGGACTCATTTCCTTGTAGCGAAATCTGAGGCCTTCGAGGTGTTTCAGAAATTCAAGGTGTTTATCGAGAAGGAGTCCGGAACAGAGATAGCTTGCTTAAGAACTGATAGGGGAGGCGAATTTATGTCTACAGAATTCAAAGAGTTTTGTGACAAGGCTGGCATCAAAAGGCAATTGACGGCGGCTTTCACTCCACAACAGAACGGGGTAGCTGAACGGAGAAACCGAACCATTATGAATATGGTTAGGTGTATGTTGAAGGAAAACCAAGTGCCAAGCAAAATGTGGCCGGAAGCTGTAGCTTGGGCCACTCACATTTTGAACAGATGTCCGACTTCGATCAATCCAGAAAAAACTCCTCAAGAACTTTGGAGTGGTTTACCACCATCAGTGGATCATCTCAAAGTTTTTGGAAGCCTATGTTATGCTCATGTGGCCGACCAACAACGCAAGAAATTGGATGATAAAAGTGTTAAGTGTATTTTCCTAGGCGTGTCACAAGAATCTAAAGCATACAGATTGTATAATCTTCAAACTAAGAAAATTATGGTGAGTAGGGATGTTGTTTTTGATGAGTCCAAAGGATGGCAAGACATCAATGAGAGTTTAGCTGAGTCTACTCAGCTCAGATGGGAAGGCAGTGAAGATGAATTCTGGGAATCTGAGGATGAAGCAGAATCTGTCCAAAATGACGACCAGGACACAATAATAGCAGCAACGGGCCAGAACTCTGTAGCTGCAGCAGTTGACGGCAATGAACTGACCTCATCTGAGAGCACGACGCAGATTGAAATAGAAGAGGAAGAGGAGGATGCTGTTGAAAGCCTCCCACAGGCTGAATTAAGGCCAAGAATTAGAAGTAGGCCGGTATGGCATGATGATTATGTAATGGGCAACTTCTGTGAGCAGCTTGCACTATCCGTAGATGGGGCTGATCCAAGCAGTTATGAGGAAGCTAAACAAGAGGAGAAGTGGAGAAAAGCCATGGCGGCTGAAATGGAAGCAATCAACAGAAATGATACATGGGAGTTGGTTTGCTTACCATCACAAGCTAGTCCAATTGGAGTGAAGTGGGTTTATAAAACCAAACTCAATGAGCATGGCAAAGTGGAGAAGTATAAAGCTCGACTTGTGGTGAAGGGTTATGCTCAAAAACACGGTATAGATTATAATGAAGTTTTCGCGCCGGTAGCCAAGTGGGATACGATCAGATCACTATTGGCTCTTGCTGGACACCATGGATGGGAAATTCATCAGCTTGACGTGAAAAGCGCCTTCCTTCATGGGGAGCTCTCCGAGGAAGTATTTGTTGTGCAACCTCCTGGTTTCATGGTTAAAGGAGAGGAACATAAAGTGTATAGGCTCAAGAAAGCTCTATATGGCTTGAAGCAAGCGCCGAGAGCTTGGTTTAGCAAAATAGAAAACTATTTCTTGAGTGAAGGCTTCACCAAGTGCCCATATGAACATACTTTGTTCATCTATGCTCATGAATCTGATGTACTCCTTGTGAGTCTGTATGTGGACGATATCATGCTCACAAGTAGCAGTGAGAAACTTGTGAAGGAATTTAAGGCATCAATGCAGTCTAAGTTTGAAATGACCGACTTAGGCCAAATGATGTATTTTTTGGGTGTAGAAGTCAACCAAAGTGATCAAGGGGTTTTCATCTGTCAAAGGAAGTACACGAATGAACTTCTCGACAAGTTTGGAATGTTGGACAGTAATCCGGTGAGAAATCCTATTGTGCCAGGGACAAAACTAAGTATTGAGGGAGATGGAGTGCTTGTGGATGAAACACAATACAAACAGCTGGTAGGAAGTTTATTATTCCTTACTGTGACCAGACCGGACATCATGTTTATGGTGTGTCTTCTAAGCAGGTATATGACGAAACCTACGAAGCTACACATGATGGCTGCAAAACGTGTGCTAAGATATTTAAAGGGAACTGCAGAGTTCGGTATAAAGTACCACAGAAAGGGACAGGGGAAGCGCCTAATAGGATACACTGACAGTGACTTTGCCGGGGATACGGATGATAGGAAGAGTACCGGCGGCTATGTGTTCTTCTTGGCGGGAGGAGCAATCTCATGGGCGTCCAAGAAGCAACCGATCGTGACTCTATCAACAACCGAAGCTGAATTTGTTGCAGCTGCTTCATGTGCAGCACACTGTATATGGCTGAAACGAATTCTTGAGCAGATGGGATGGACTGAAAGTGTTGTAGGAGCAACCACTGTGTTCTGTGACAACAACTCTACCATTAAACTGTCAAAACATCCTGTGCTACATGGACGGAGCAAGCATATCGATGTTCGTTTCCATTTTCTTAGGGATTTGGTCAGAGATGGAGTTGTAGAGCTCGAGTACTGTGGTACCAAGGTGCAGATAGCGGACATTATGACCAAGGCCGTGGGGCTTGAAGTGTTTGAACGACTAAGAGCACATCTTGGAGTCATGAAGAATGAGAAGACCTTGGAGGCTTCTGTTGTTTAAATTCAACTTAAATATGTTGAGTTTAGGGGAGAATTTGTTAGGTTTATATTTATTTATTTATAATTTATGTTGAGTCAGTCCTATTTTTAAGTCTTTGTTTTACTGTCAGTTAGTGCATTTGCCAAGTCAAGGTTGTTAGCATGTTAGTAGCAGTGAGGACCAAGTATTTAGGAGGCAGTTATTTTGTAACTGGTGTAGTATATATTGCTACATCTGAATTAATAATAAACACAGTTTTTGAGCTTGACATCAATGGAACACGTTTAGTTGTATCTCTTAACAATGTTACTTTTGTGATGCCGAAAACCGTGCTTTTAATTCTACAGTTAAGCTTGTTTTGCAGGATACTAATCTTCTTACTGTTGAATCACACCCATTTCATCTTCATGGTTATAACTTTTTTGTTGCTGGAACTGGTGTTGGTAATTTTGATCTTGCCAAAGATCCTGCTAAATATAATTTGGTTGATCCTATGGAAAGGAAAACCGTCGGCGTTTCCACCGGTGGTTGGACCGCAATTCAATTC